AGTTGAGCTGAGAGTTGAGCTGAGAGTTGAGCTGAGAGTTGAGCTGAAAGTTGAGTTGAGAGTTGGACTGAGAGTTAGTTGAGCTGAGAGTTGAAGTGAAAGTTGAGTTGAGAGTTGAAGTGAGAGTTGAGATGAGAGTTGAAGTGAGACAACACACAGAGTTAGGTTAAGGTTACGAGTTGGTTAATATGAGTTGGGTTCGGAACTCCGAGTTGAGAGCTAGAGAGTGGGGGCACAAATCACACCAGTACATTTCGACTGAATCGGACTTGGCAGGAGTTGAGATTCACTTCACGGCCAGATGTTGTGTTGACAGTTGATTAGGGCTTATGCTCCCACTAGTACATTCTCAACTGCATCTCCAGAGGCTTGCTAGCGGCCTTTGTCAGCTCTCGCAAGAGTGGAGCCTCTTGGGATAAGGTAAGGCATTGTTTTAGACATGTTTTGAACAATGTCGTACTTCAAACTACATCCTCCACAAATGCCATATTCCTCAGAAATCCCAGTGCATTCCATGCTTTGTAGATTTCAGCAGGAATATCAACAGATGGCAATAACAGTCTGTACGCAACTTAAACCACCAGTACTTGGCCCAGCTATTGGCCGAGCGAAAAAATAGAGTAGATATGTTTCTAGTCAGATGAATTTGGGCGCTCCTGTAGTGGCCCGTACATTTTCGAAAATCATGGCTTGTTAACGGGCACGACTTTAGGAAGTACTGGTGGTTTAACATTGTGGTCTATGAAATCTCGCATTGATCCGGCTTCTCAGGATCAGTCCAATACCACAACTAAGGTCATAGGGGGGACCGCAACAGAAACAGGGAGGTATTCCACCATGCCCCCTAAACCTATAAAGACAAAGCAAACTGGAACAAGTCACAACAAATCGATTAACAAAGGCACCATAGACTTCCGAACAATAGTAGTACCAAGGTCCCAGAACCCGTCCTTAACTTCCCATGCAAAAAATTCCCACCTAACTCGCAGAAAACAAATATCTTGGCCCTTGCAACGATGAAGAGCACAACAAAATGCGATACTCAATGTGAATTCTCTGTAGCAGTGCAAAATTTACTGAGCCGTTAGCGAAAGAAACGTATTGCCCCGGCGCCTCCGGTTAGCGCTAGAGCTGCGCTAAGCTTCGTCTTCGTGCCCGCGACCCTCCGCGCCTGCGCGGGCGAATTCAAACGCTGTGTCTGTTTCGAAAGTGACGAAGCCGCCCTGACAATGACAAACAACGCCCTAGCTGAGGTGCCATAGCCCCGCGTAAGCCGGGTGGGGCCCGCTCGCGCGCTCTCAGAGTGCGCGCCTTGGCTGATACGACAAGGGCGGGAAAGCCTGTCGAAGTATTCAACGCAAGGGATTTCGTCGCTGGAAAGTTCCTGGGCGACAACTGGCTTCAAGTGCCCTTTCCAACGTTGGGGAGACCTACGACGACCTACGACAACACCTACGGTGCCTACATCACCGCGAGTGGCGTAAGAAGAAGACTGCAAGTCGTCTAACCCTGCTACCCAAGCCGCTTAGGTCCACTCATCCCCATCAACACCTCGTTTGGAACTAACGCCTGACCCCCAAACCCTCCCGCCCAGCCCCACCGGTCCCCCGCTGTTTCCCCTAACTACTCTAACTCTCTACTGCCTGCCCGACAATCATCGCCTTAAGTCGTCATCCAACTACCACCTGCCCGCTGCCCACGCCCTTCCTAATAAGGCCTTCCCCTCCGCCAGACCAGCCCCCTCCCCTTACGGTTTCCTCACAGACTCCAATAGAGGTTAGCAAACCCCCTCGCGTCTCCTCCCCCTCACCTCCATCAACAATCCATTTTGTCCTCCCCTCGACGTCACCAACAAGCCACTCCGACCCCCCCCGCCCATTCACCAACAATCCACTCCGACCTCCCCCTCGACTTTACCAACAAGCCATTCCGACCCCGCTTCCCATTCACCAACAATCCACTCTGACCCCCCCCTCGACTTTACCAACAAGCCA